TCTAGTAATGCAAGGATGGTTCAATATTTAAAAATCAATCAATCTGATACACCACATTAACAAAAGGAAGCATAAAAATCACATATTCACCTCAATTAATGCATAAAATTCATCTGACAAAATTCAACATCTATTCATGATAAAAACTCTCAGCAAAGTTGATATAGAGAGAACATACCTCAACATAATAAAGGCCATTTATGACAAACCCACATCTTACATCTACTCAATGGTGAAAAGCAGAAAGCCTTTCCTCTAAAATCAGGAACTGGACAAGAATGCCCACTCTCACCACTCCTATTCAACATAGTATTGGAAGTTCTAGCCACAATAGTCAGACAAGACAAAGAAATAAAAGGCATTCAAATTGGAAGGGAGGAAGTGAAACTGTCACTATTTACAAATGATATGATACTATATAAAGATACCTTTAAGTCTCCACCAAAAAATTATTAGAATAAATGAATTCAGTAAAGTTGCAGGACACAAAATTAACATACAGAAATCTGTTGCTTTTCTACACACTAAAAATAAACTATCATAAAGAGAAAGCAAGAAAACAACTATGCTTAAAATTGCATCAAAAAGAATAAAATGCCTAAGAATAAACATAACCAAGGAGGTGAAAATGCTCTGAAAATTATAAAAGATTGTTGAAGGAAACTGAAGACGATATGAAGAAATGGAAAGTTATCCTGTGTTCTTGGGTTAGAAGAGTTAATACTGTTAAAATGTCCATACTACTCAAAGTAATCCAGAGATTTAATGTAATCCTTATCAAAATACCCAGGACATTTTTCACAGAACTAGAACAAATAATTCTAAAATTTATATGGAACCACAAAAGACACCAAATAGCCAAAGCAATCTTGAGAAAGAAGAACAGAGCGGGAAGTATCATGCTCCCTGACTTCAAGCTGTACTGCAAACCTACATTAATCAAAACAGCATGGTAGGGCTTCCCTGGTGGCACAGTGGTTGAGAGTCTGCCTGCCGATGCAGGGGATGTGGGTTTGTGCCCCGGTCCTGGAAGATCCCACATGCAGTGGAGCGACTGGGCCCGTGAGCCATGGCCGCTGAGCCTGCACGTCCGGAGCCTGTGCTCCGCAACGGGAGAGACCACAGCAGTGAGAGGCCTGCGTACCGCAAAAAACAAAAACAAAAACAAAAACAAAAAAAACCCAGCATGGTACTGGCACAAAAACAGACACATAGATCAATGCATGAGAGCAGCCCAGAAATAAACCCATGAACTTACAGTTAATTACAACAAAGGAGGCAAGAAACAATGGAGAAAAGACAGTCTCTTCAATAAGTGGTGTTGGGAAAACTGGACAGCTACATGTAAAAGAATGAAATTAGAATATTTCCTTACACCATATAGAAAAGTAAACTCAAAATGGATTAAAGACCTCAATGTAAGACTGGAAACCATAAAACTTTTAGAAGAGAACATAGGCAAAACACTCTTTGACGTAAATTATAGCAATATTTTTCAAATCTGTCTCCTAAGGCAAAAGAAACAAAAGCAAAAATAAACAAGTGGACCCTAATTAAACTTAAAAGCTTTTGCACAGCAAAGGAAACCATCAACAAAATGGAAAAACAACTAGTAAATGGGAGAAAATATTTACAAATGATACAAGTGATAAGGGATTAATATCCAACATATATAAACAGCTCATACAACTCAATAGCAAAAAAACCCCAAACAACCCAATCAAAAATTGGGCAGAAGACCTGAACAGACATTTTCCAAAAATGGCCTACAGATGGCCAACAGGCACATGAAAAAATGTTCAACATCACTAATCATCAGAAAAATGCAACTCAAAACCACAATGAGATATCATGGTTATACACTCAATGTTATAGACATTCATTTATTTTATTTTTTATATTACACATATAAGTGATAACACAGAGAATTTGTCTTTACCTTACTGACTTATTTTTCTAAGCATAATACCCTCTAAGTCCATCTGCTTTGTTGCAAATGTCAGGACTTCATTCTTTTTTATGGTTGAATAATATTCCATTGTATGTATATGTATGTGTGTGTGTATATATCTTTATCCCTTCATCTGTTGATGGACACTTAGGTTGCTTCCATATCTTGGCTACTGTAAATAATGCTGCTAAGAACATTGGGGTGCATGTAACTTTTCGAATTAGTGTTTTCAGGGGTTTTTCTGGATATGTATACAGAACTGGAATTGCTTAATTATATGGTAGTTCTATTTTCAGTTTTTCTGAGGAATCTCCAACTGTATTCCATGGTAATTGTACCATGTATACAAACAGAAACAGACTCACAGATATAGAGAACAAATTAGTGGTTACCAGTGGGGAGAAGGAAGTGGGGAGGGGCAGGAAAAGGGTATGGAATTAAAAAGTACAAATTACTATGTATAAAATAAGTAAGCAACAAGGTTATATTGTACAACACAGGGATATGTGACCATTATTTTGTAATAACTTTAAATGCAGTATAATCTATAAAAATATTGAATCACTATGTTGTACACCTGAAACTAATGTATTATAAATCAACTATACTACAATTTAAAAATCAGTCAATCAATCAAGCAGGGGATGTAAGGTACACATAGGGAATATAGTCAATAATACTGTAACAAACAAAATTGAGATATCACCTCACTCTTGTCAGAATGGCTATCATCAAAAAGTCTACAAATAACAAATGTTGGCAAGGATATGGAGAAAAGGGAATACTTGTATACTGTTGGTGGGAATGTAACTTGGTGCAGACATTGTGGAACACAGTTGGAGGTTCCTCAAAAAAACTAAAAATAGAACTACTGTATGATCCAGCAATTCCACTTCAGGTATATATCTGGAAAAAACAAAACACTAATTTGAAAGGATACATGCACCCCAATGTTCATAGCAGCACCATTTACAATAGCCAAGACATGGAAGCAACCCAAATGCCCATCAACTGATGACCGGATTAAGAAGATGTAGTATATATATATACAACGGAATATAGCTCAGCCATAAAAAAGAATGAAATTCTGCCATTTGTAGCCATAAGGATGAACCTAGAGAATATTATGCTTATGAAATAAGTCACAGAAAGACAAATACTTATGATATCACTTATATGTGGATTCTAAAATATACAAATGAATGTATATGCAAAACAGAAATAGACTCACAGATATAGAAAACAAACTTGTGGTTACCTAGGGGACAGGGAAACAGGTAGGGACAAATTAGGGATATGGGATTAACAGATACAAACTCCTATATGTAAAATAGATAAGCAACAGGATATACTGTATAGCATAGGAAATTATAGTCATTATCTTGTAATAACCTATAATGGAGGACAATCTGTAAAAATACTGAATCACTATGCTGTACATCTGAAACTAATACAATGTTGTAAAACAACTATACTTCAGTAAATAAGTATATACATATATACCAGGATGAATAAATTTTAAAAAATAATTATAATTGTATACCAACTTTGTAGGGTGACAGATGGTAACTGGACTTATTGTGGTAATCTGAAAATACTGGTAAAAAATACTGAAACTAATATAATATTATATACTAACTATAGCCCAATAAATATGTTAAAAATAATAATAGGTTAAAAAATTAAAATGAGCAAATAATTTAATAGACATTTCACCAAAAAGGTATTTAGATAGCTAGTAGGTCATGAAAGATGCTCTACAGCATTTTTCATTAGAGAAATGCAAATATAAGCTAAAATGAGATATCAGTACACACCTGTTAGAATAAATTTAATCAAAAGAGACAACATCAGGTGTTGACAAGTATGTGGAAAAACTGAATCATCATATATTGCTGATGGGAAATGTAAACTAATAAGTCACTATGGAACATAGTTTGGCAGTTTATTACTATGATAAGCATAAACCTACAATACGACACAGCAATTTCACTTCTAAGAATCTATCCAAGAGAAAGAAAACTATATGTCCATACATAAATATTCATAGCAGAATGACTCAAAATAGTCAATATCTGAAAACAATCTTGAATTTAACTGGTAAATGGATAAACAAAATGTGTTATCTACATCTATTAAGAAATAAAAAATTTAGGAAGTATTGATAAATGTTGCAAAATGGATAATCTTAAGTGAAAGAAGCTCAATGCAAAGTCCTACATATCACATATTTCATTTTTATGAGATGCCTAGAAAATGCAAAATTATAGAAACACAAAACAGATCAGCAGTTGCCAAGGGCTGGGGATGGAAGCAGAGAAAAACTGCACATAGGCAGGAAGGAACTTAAGGCAAACAAAATGTTCTAAAACTGGATTTGTGGTAATGTTTACATAATTCTATTCATGTACTAATGATCATTGAGTTGTACACTTACAATGGGTGAATTCTGTGAATTTATACTTCATTAAAACTAGTAAAAATAAAGTGTTATCAAAAGATTGGCCACTTATAAGCAAGGCTTGCTGTTTTGTGTTTCTTTTTTTATCTCCTAAGGCTCTTAGCATGTAGTTATGCACACAAGTCCAGAGAAATATCTGTTAAATAAATCAATGAATAGGATGAAATATTGCCCTTTCTAACAAAAATAACAGAAGAAAGGGTTTATACTCTCTGAGAACTGGTAGGTACAAGGGTAGAGATTGAGGAACCAGGTTTTAGTTAAAAAAAAGACTCTCCTTAACCATTTTGGAGAGAATTATTCTCTTCATTTGAATCATCTAGATACCATTCAGATAATACCCTAATTCTTTTACATTATATTCTCTCTTTGAACTTTAAAAAATGGTTTTACCATGAGGAAATGACAAATGTTAGACAAATTAGAACATTCTGATTTATACGTTTGCTTTTACCATCAAAACTTTACATTCCTTATCAATAGTAATATTGGTTAGTTATAGTCATACTATAATGGAATTGATGTATTTCACTGCTATGTAATAAAAATAAGAAATTTCATATAAAAACATTATGGAAAATCTCTTACATTTTCTACTTTTGAATTATCACTTGTATTTGCTTGGATTTTCTCTGGAAATATAATTTGTAGAAATGAATTTTGAAAACCTGAAGAAATAAAAAAAAACAGTTAATAACTGTGTTTTAAACTTGACTAAATATTTGTTCAGGTTCTTTTATAAGACTTGCTTATGCAAACATGAGTCATCACTGTGTACTCCTATAGAAATCTTGAAAACACTTTGTTTAAAAACAGATAAGATAGCTATGAAAGACTAAAAGGGGGCACGGAGAGGTATTCAACTTATACAAAATTTGCTGTTCCTGAAGAAAAGTGAACAAATGAATTAAAAAATATCAAATATATACTTCAAGAAGACTTTCCTGAAATAAAAGATTTGAAACAATAGACTAGAAAGTACACTGCATTTCAGGAATAACTGATAACAATTAATTAAAACCGAGACATATTCTACTAAACTTATTGGATGTCGAAGATAAAGAAAGAATCTTATGGGCATATGAGCAAAAAGGAAAAGTGAAAATCATATTGGGCATAAGAAGAGAAAAGCAGGTTGGCTTGAGATTCTTTAAAACATTATTCAATGTTAAAAAACTGAAGAACTATGTCTTTAAAAAAATATTCAGGAAAAGAAAGTGTGGACCCAAGAATTTTATACCCAGCAAAACTGTCATTAAAATATACAGGCAAGGGACAGATACTTACAAGCAAAAAATCAAGGAAAATAGTTCACAAGTTCCTGTCACAAAAGGTAGACAAACTTCTCCCAATAAAGGCATCAACAGAGTTGAGGTAAAAGGCCTAGCTGTGAGCATTAAAATAAACTTAAATATAGAATATAGGCCAAAACAATGGTGGGAATCATCACTATTTAATAGGATGCAAGTGTTATAAACTATGATGATAAAGACATAACAACATATTCAATAATGTCAGGAAGGGTAGCAGAAGAAGAGAATTACCATATGTGAATACTGTTTTCCTTAAATTTATTGCAGTGTGGTTCCAAAAAATGTTAAAAAGCTGAAAATCAAGTGGTAAAAGTAGAAACATATTCTTTAATGGTATAAAAGAATTAAGATTTTTTAAAGCTATAGTCATATAATGAAGAGGAGAGCACGAGGTGGAAAGAAGTAGTAAGAAATAAATTTCCTTACACTCACAGTGAGGAATCACTAGTTACTACCTAAATTAAAAATTAAATCTATTATATAAAACAGATTATAAATATTCCAAATTAAGAAAAAAAAGAGCATACAAACACAAGGCATCCAGAAAATAAATGAAAAAGTCACAGATTTTTATGGTGTAAAACATTTATCAAAAAAAAAGCATGAAATCAGAAAAGTATGATATAAATAAGAAGCACTAAGATTAAATATCTCAGTCATATCAGTAAATGTGAGTAGGATGAAGTGACCAACCTAAAGAAAAACTCATACTGGAGACAGACTGTTATCAGCCCAGAGGCGGGACCAGAGTAATCTATGAACAAACTTTACCTCATTAGTTTTCACCCATATATTTACATTTCCAGTTTGCTGCCCTTGGAAGCCTAAAACTGCCTTCCTGTGTCTGTCACTTCTCTACAAATTTAATGTTTTTCGTTGAAGATAAGCTGGAACTCAAAGCTGCCATTTTGAATTACTTTTGGTTTAAGTTTCTCCCATGATGCATGCTGTATGCATTAATAAGCTATTTTTCTGTTATCAAAAAAAAGAAAAAAAGAAAAATTCTCAGATTGGATCCACAAAATCAAAACCCAATTACTCAGACCTTTGGTGGAATATTAAACACTGGCTTTAAACTAATAATGATTATTATTATTATTTTTTTTTTTTTTGGCTGCATCGGGTTGCAGCATGCAGGATCTTTCATTGCGATGCTCGGGCTCTTAGTTGCAGTGTGCAGCCTTCTCTCTAGTTGTGGCATATGGATTTTCTATCTCTAGTTGTGGCACTCGGGCTCCAGAGTGCATGGGCTCTGTAGTTTACAGCACGTGGGCTCTCTAGTTGAGGCATGCGGGCTCAGTAGTTGTGGCTCATGGGCTTAGTTGCCCCACGGCATGTGGGATCTTAGTTCCCCAACCAGGGATCGAACCCACGTCAGCTGCATTGGAAGGTGGATTCTTTACCACTGGACCACTGAAGAAGTCTCCTAATGATGATTTCTGAGTACCTAAAATAAGACTGTGGTCCACTTCAGGAAAAGATATATGATTAGCAGAAGAAGTCAGGTGATGAATGGAAGTTATTAGGTTCACATCTATGAACACACTCATGGGTCTACAAGTTCATCCTATCGTAATCTGCCCAATTATGGAACAGTGTGTCAAAACAGATATAATCAGTAACTTGTGGAATGCCTGTCTTGTCTCCCTGACACATAGAATGAGGATTGTTATGGTAGGGAGGGCCAGATGGAAACCTCTGAATATCACCTGCACCATCACCAAAACATTAAACCAAAAACCCTTCTATACCAAGAACGTATATACAAGGGCAATGATTTCTGTTATTTTACTTGTTTGATCTGTGCACGTGATAGATAAGCAATAGAGAATGACAATGAGTTGTCGTAAGTGTGATCAGGTAATGATTGCAATAACTAATATTGTTCCAAATACGGTCGCTTTACTGAACCAAATCAACACAGGCGTTGGCACCTGTATGTAGCCATTAATAGGAAAAGGTGCTGTTTTCTCTATCCCAATAAGCAGGAGATGCCAGGAGCAAGTTTCCATTTTTGCTTAGTAGTGATGCCAGTATACCTTCACCAATCATATTGCCTCAGATGCCTCAGATCTTTATCATCTGGTTCTTCTTCTACCTGGACCCTAAAAATCTCACTGTCTGTGGTAGATAGAATAATGCCCCCAAAGATGTCCATATCCTAATCCCCAGAACCTGTTAGGTTACATGGCAAAACAGAATTAAGGTTGCTAATCAACTGACCTTAAAATATGAAAATTATCCTGGGTTATCTGTGGTCTTAATTTAATCGCAAGGGTTCTTAACAGTAGAAGAAAGAGCCAGAAAAGAAAACCAAAGAGATGGCCATGTGTAAAGACCTCAGCCCAATACCACTGACTTTGAAGATGGAGGAAGGGGGCCATGAGCCAAAAAATGCAAACAGCCATTAGAATCTGGAAAAGACAAGGAAACAGATTGTCTCCTGCAGCTTCCAGAAGGAACAGGGCACTGCTAACACCTTGATTTTACCCAATGAGACCCATTTTACAGAACTGTAAGATAATAAATTTGTGTTGTTTAAGCTATTAAGTTTGTGATAACTTGTTACAGCAACAATAGGAAACTAACATATCGTCTAAGAGAAAGACCTGAAGTAGCAGGTACATTAGATGCCTTGAAGAAGCAGGTGTGCCAGAGTCTTAACACACACACACACACACACACACATCCACCTGTAATGGTCTAGTGGTCTAAACCACACTTGAAAATATCCTCCATAATCAATAGTAAGAGGCAGAACACTTGGTAGACCATTTTGGATTTTGGAGGCAATATATATCATATATAGCTATGTTGCTTTGACCATTTTTATTGAACAAAACATAGGCTGCCAGATTTGTAAGATGCCAGAGTACAAGACTCCTCAGCTACCTGAGTCTACTGTGCAAGGAGCGCTACTATTTTTCCTTTATGACTTAGGGTCTGTGGCAGAGCCTGTGTTAAGCCCCTCTAGGAGAATTACAGCAGAGGCTCCTGAGGTTTGTAAGCAAAGACACGCCCTCATTGGTATATGCTGTGGATTGAATGATGGTGCCCCAAAAGATATGTCCACTCGGAACCTGTGGCTATAACCTTATAACCTTGCAAAGAAAAAAGGGTCTTTGCAAGGTGTAATTAAGTTAAGGATCTCAAGATGAGACCATTCCGGATTAGGCTGGACCCTAAATCCAATGACTAATATCCTATAAGTAAGAGAAGGGGAGAAGACACACAGAGGAGACATCAATATAAAGACAGGCAGAGGCTGGAGTAACATGTCTCCAAGCCAAGGAATGCATAGGATTGCTGGCAGCCATCAGAAGCTAGGAGAGAAGCATGGAACAGATTCTCCCTCAGAGCCTCCAAAAGTAATCAACACTGCCAATACCTTGATTTTGGACTTCTGGCCTCCAGAAACAGAAGGGGAAAAAAATTCTCTTGTTTTAAGCCACCCAGTTTGTGGTACTTTGTTATGGCAGCCACAGGAATCTAATATAGCACGTAAGTATATTTCTTTTATGAAAGCTTTTAGCTCACTACTGGGCTCTGATAGAGGCTAAAATTCAGACCATGTGATCTTCAGAATATATGATCTTGCAACGTGAACCACTCTTCACAGACTGACATCATCAGGCATTCACAGGAGTACTAATCAAATGGAAGTGTTATATATATATATATGGTTGGGTTTGAACAGGTCCTAAAAGCTTTAAGTTGCATAACCAGGTGATTAATACTCCAGTAGGCCTACTCCTATCACGTTTCCATCACTTCCTAAAACCTACTTTTATGGTATCCTATGACCAGCTAACTGAAGGAGGGAAAGTAGATGTATGATATGCCAATAGTACACAGAAGTAAGTCCACGGGTATAATCTTAAAAACTCATAGATAGTTGGCCCTAAAAGAGAATAGAGCAAAGTAAATTCTCCCCGTAACTAGGATTTCACATGGTACACTTACATGTCTAGTTTTCCTGTATACGAACTGATTACATTAAATGAGGCAGAAGCAAGTTATTGTGTTGTTTCTTGAAAGTTTAAGAATGTTACCAACCTTAAGAAGGGTGAATATGGATGTTAAGTGGCCCATCTAGAGGTGAACTGTGGGATACTGTAGAGAGGTTCAATCATTCAAACTATTTCTACCTTGTCTCCCTGTGCTATTAGACGTTGGAAACCTAACAACTCTATACCAGACTCCACTGCAATTAAGGTGCTGGCATGTTACTAGTTCCTGCTATTCATACACCCAAAAAAGACTTAGTTGCAGAAGTGAGCATTGTCAGATGGCAGCCACGTGTGAATATCTGGTCCTTCTGACATTTGTAGTAATAGAATTATCTGGTCCTTTTG